ACAATTCTGAAGGTAGGTGGAGAAAACAACGTTCATCTGAAGGGGTTCATCCAATGGCCTCATAACTGAATTAAGAAAATAGAATAAATACTTGCTTTCCTTCTAGTTGAATTTGGCTTGCTATCTAGTGTGTCTTCTGTTTCAGGGGTCGCAAACTCCTGGTCCATGGATTGGCACCGGTCCATGGCATGCCAGAAACTGGGCCATGCAAACACGCTATGACTGATATGCAGGGTGCAGTTGGCATGTGAAATCATGTCCTTTCTATTCCGCAGAAAAACCATTCTCCGCGGAACTGGTTCCTGGTGCCCAAAACCTGGATGATAGGTTTTCACTTTGCCAAAGTTAAACCTCTTTGTAATCAAATTGACTTTCAAATTGACTTTTCTTGTCAGTTTAGTTAGTAGAACCGTACTTTGATTAAAGCTTTGTGTGTTCCCAGGCAAGTTTTTCTGCTTGGATATGCCTCAGTGAATCACTACCTCTACCCTTTTTTGTACATCAACAGGATTATTTTAAAGCTGTGACTCTTTAGAAAAAGAAAAGACAGCTTTTGTTAAGAAGGAGGAACAAGAATATTCTTGTCACCATATTGAACAACAAATTGTATGCTTAATTGGTATAAATGCCAATTTGTCTGTATGTCCAGTTGTAGAAATATCAATCCCTGAAGTGATATTGGAACATATCTCAATCAGGAAACCCTGCACCATTTCAGACAAATCATTGTCAAATATTTTCTTAAAAACCTCCAGTGGTGAAGAAACTCGTCCCACTGATTAGTTGTTCTAACTGTCAGCAAATGTCTCTTTAGTTCTAGGTTGCTTCTCTCCTTGATTAGTTTCCATCCATTGCTTCTTGTTCTGCCTTCAGGTGCTTTGGAGAATAGCTTGACCCCCTGTTCTTTGTGACAGAAGAAGAGATGGTCAACCTATTCCCCATCATGCAAGTACTGGTATATGTTGGCTAAACACTTTTGCTGGCTTGTCCTGACCAGCCAGTACAAATAAACAATTGAGGAATTGACTGGGAAAAGTGAAGTGCAATATAGTATTGTGTTTAAACTAGTAAGTCCGTATTTGTTGTATTTGGGATATAAGGTAGGACAGAATAATAGAATTTTGCCAGAAACAAATTATGTTCCCATAATTCCAAATAAAGTGAAAGCAAGCATCAAAAATCTGTTGGCATTCATTTTCCCAAATTAAGCATTGAGAACAGGGGAGAATATCTGAAACAAACAAACAAAAAACCCTCTTACTGAAAGTTTCACCAAACAGAGACAGTCATTTTTCAAACCAACACAAACTCACAGATGCCTATAAAACTCACAAACATAAAGCACATATATTTGCGTTTTTTTTAAAGAAAATAACTCTTAAGACATTTCATTAACCAGTTATAGGATTAGGTTGTTGTACATAAAGGCTTTATTATTCAACATTAGGAATGTAAATAGTTATTTTTTAAATGACAAAAAGAAACACCTAATTTGAATAGCAAACTACTAGAACTAACAATAAAGCAAATGAGATTTGTAGTGATTCTAATCAACCACTAATCAGAAACAAAGCTTGTTCTTTTTTTACCAGTTTTAGTTTGTCTGGGAATCAAAGAAGCAGGGAATCCCAGTTCCAATATGATCCTAAGCATTTCCTTTCAGACTCATTTAACCTAGCCTTCCTCAATCTCCATGTCCAGCTGGAGGGAAAAACAAACAAACAGGCTCCTCACCTGTTCACAATCCCCATAGTTACTTGGATTGAGTGAAACAGAATGAAACTACAGTTTAGAAGTTTTAGAAACCTTTGGAGAGTGATTTCTACAAGGCTGTGGAACAATTAATCAGTGAAATGACTTGCCTCCAACTCTGGAGGTTTTTAAGAAGAGATTGGACAGCTGTTTGTCTGAAATGATACAAGTTTCCAGCATGAACAGGAGGTCAGAGAAGACCTCCGAGATAGCAATAGCAATAGCACTTAGATATATATACTGCTTCACAGTGCTTTACAGCCCTCTCCAAGCAGTTTAGAGTTAGCCTCTTGCCCCCAACAATCTGGGTCCTCGTTTTACCCACCTCGCAAGGATGGAAGGCTGAATCAACTTTGAGCCTGGTGAGATTTGAACTTCCCGCAGTACTGCATTCTAACCACTGTGCCACCACGGCTCCCTTCCGACTGTTATTCTGCTGTTTCAAGGGACATAACTTTGTGTCTCTTTGCAAAATGCAATTTGTTTAATGTTTCAACAGACATTTCCCTTGATAAGGAGTTTCCTTGAAATGTGTGGGGGAGCTCTATCTGTTGGCACAGCTGACATTTTTAAACTCTCTCCCCTCCTCGCATGGTTATTACTGAACCCCTGTGTTTGCATTCTCGTGTGAATCTGCCCCAGCATATGCTCAGCTGATGATTGATAAGAAAAATACCACCTGCATGGTTCTTTTCACACTGACAAGATTAATCCCAACTTTAAGGATTAAAGAAGAGAGCTAGAAAAGCCTTTGTTTAAAAGCTGGAGTTTCAGGAGAAGGAGCAGCAGAGGAAAAGAAGACTTAAAATAGATGTCTATTCATCCAGCGGCCAGTTCTCAAAATATCCAGTAAACCTTCAAGTTGCCATTTATTGCAGTATTATTTATAGTCGCTAGAGTTGAAAGGGAACATTGCAAGTTTATTATTTCCTGTGTGGTAAACTATGACCACTCTGTTTACCTTGGCATTAGCCCAGGAAGTAATATACCTAATTATGGATGAATTCAGTGTGTTTCCTGGTTAAGTTCTTATACACTTACGTCTTCACAAACACATACACAAAGAAGGAAAAGTATTTCACAGATGTTCTCAAGCCGGATAGCCAGTGCCATGTTAACATTAACAGAGGATAGAATCGAGATAACATGTTTTACAAAGTCTTAGTAAGACCACACCTGGAATTCTGCATCCAGTTTTGGTCAGCACCCTATTAAAAAGATGCTGAGACTTTGGAAAAAGTGCAGAGAAGAGCAACGAAGATGATTAAGGGCCTGGAGACTAAAACCTATGAAGAACGGTTGCAGGATTGGGTATGGTTGGTCTAGTGAAAAAAGGACCAGGGGATACATGATAGCCGTGCTCCAATTCTTGAATGGTGAACCTATTTTCCAAAGCACAGAAGGCAAGTCAAGAAACAACAGATGGAAACTAATCAACACTAATTCCTGACAGAACAATCAACAGTGGAACAGTGGAGCAGGTTGCTTTAAGCTCCATCACTGGAGGCTTTTAAGAAGAGATTAGACAGCCACCTGTGGGAAATGGTCTCCTGCTTGAGTGGGGGTTGGACTAGAAGACCTCCAAGGTCTTTTCCAACTCTGATATTCTATATTCGATCTCTCAGGTTTGGGGAGACATTTCTTACCCTTTCAGGTTATTGGCCATGCTAACAGGAATTGTCATTCAGAAGATTGGTAGAGCTTTGGCCCTTGATCTATAGCAGGGGTCTCCAATCTTGGTAACTTTAAGACTTCTGGGAATTGAAGTCCACAGGTCTTAAACTTGCCAAAGTCTTAAAGTGCCCAAGGTCTTAAAGTTACCAAGTCTTAAATTGGCTAAGACCTCTGATCTACAGCATGAAAGAGTTATATTAAACGTCTGTCTTGGGGTTGATCAGATATTATTCTTAACAAGAGTGTCTTTGACTGTATTCATCATGTGAGTTCAGTTAGCATTATTCTTTCTTGATTCATATAGAATTGAGAACATGAGAAATGGGGTGGAGCAACTTTGCAGATTGAAGAGTTGGTGAGAAGAGGGTAATTGCAGGCTCTTTTGCCTATCAAGAGGTCCACTGAGTGCCAATTTTTTATTTGTCTTTTCTCCAAGAGTTCTTAACTGCTCACTCACATTGATTCTCCCATATTGAGGTAACTAATATCTCCCATATTTAGTTTAACCCTTTAGCTGATGCACCTCATAGGTCCTTTGGTTGCTATCTGCAATCCTGGGAAGTATCTACACCAGGAGTGTCCAACCTTGACAACTTTAAAACCTGCAAATTTAATGCTGACTGGCGCTTTCTAGGAATTGAAGTTCATAAGGCTTAAAGTTGCCAAAATTGGACACCCCCAATTTACACTGAGAGATGATTACAAGCCCTATGCATTGTGCTTGAACCATTGTTAACTGGTTTTAGTGTGAGTTAATCCACTAGTGTGAATTAATGCTTAGGGCAAAATCCCCTGATGTGTTTTTTTTAATGGGAGGAGGCAGCTGTTATAAGTATGCTTTTTGAAATTGTATCTGCTTTGCAAAGTATACTATACTAGGTCTAGCAAGATGTCCCAACACAGACCTTATGTTAAACTTTGGTGAAAAGTGAGTACTTTGCACACCATACACATAACCAAGCCTTGTTCTTGACTTACCTTTTCTGCCTAGAGTTGCCTTTAATTACTTGTTTATTTATAATGTTGTGTCATGACAACTCAGATTAGTAATAGCCATAATACTTAGACTTATATACCTCCCCATAGTGCAGTACAGTAGCATATTGCCCCCAACACTCTGGGCCCTCATTTTACTGATCTTAGAAGGATGGAAGGCTGAGTCAACCTTGAGCCCCATTAGGATCAAACTCCAGGCCGTGGGCAGAGTTTGCCTGCAGTACTGCATTTGGACCACTGCGCTACTAGATTAATAGCTGGTCTCTGGCTAGGCAACTATTAGTCCAATAAGAAAATGAGATGAGTGGTAAGACCAATGGAAAGCACGTCCATTCCATTTTTGTGCTCTTTCATTTATTATGAATGGGAATGCAAAATGTGACTACTAAACACCTAGGAAGGTGAACGGAAGGTTTATCTTTCCCACCTCACTGATGGTAGACTTGGGTGAGTCCCCCAGAAGGATTCAAAGACCCGGGAGTTACTTAAGGGTGGTAGTTGAAGATGTTGGCTTTAATTGCAATTAGCCACCTTTGGTTTATGTCTTTCTTTCTCCATCTGTTGCTTTTGTTTTTCAGCCATCTACAATTACAAAGCAGTCCAGGATGTGGAGCTCTCTTTACAGGTTGGAGATACCGTTCACATCCTGGAGATGTATGAAGGTAAGCAGACTCTGGATTGCCAAGAGAGAATTGGAAGGGCTCCTAGGTCCAGTGGGAGACAGTGAGTTTTATATTTGAAGGTATGGATCAACAAAATAGAAAGAGACAAAGCAAATAAATCTCAGGTGATGAAACCCAGTGATACAGATTATTGTTGCATCAGTTCCAGAGAGATCACTCTTAAGATCTGAAGCAGGAATTTCAAATAAAAGAAGCTGTGAAGATCGATATTATTTTCCACTGATGGCCAGTCGGTTGCTATATGATCCAGCTGCTCCTTTCTGCCTCTTCTGTAGCTTGATTGTGGTGTTTTAAAGTTTTACTGAGTAGAAATGCACAGGTGCTCCAGTATAATTGCACCATGATTATTTTGGCATGAGTAAAAGATGCATGTGAGAACAACTACAAGAAGGAGCAGTTCTGAATGACTCCAAAGTTCTCTGGATACAGACAGGTAACTTTGAGAAGCCCACAAGCAGGTCACAATAGCCACAGATGCAATTGCATCCAAACCTAAAGACTCTGTTTGGCTTTTGTAATTAAATGTAATCTTGAGTCTGAATTCAGCTCTGGCATTCTAATCACTGTGGTAATCTAGTTTAACCTGAGGCTCTCTCAGCCCGGGATTGTTGGGGAATGATAAGATTATAATCCAGCATACCTGGAAGATTGGGTCAATAGGGAAGGCTAAATTGGACCTCCTTAGTGGAATTTTTACTGACTTGCCTGGATTTTTATGGCATAGTGTGGCTTTTGATTGATCGTTATTAACGGATCCCTTGCTGTATCGCTAACTTTCCCTGCTAGAATGGATGAGCGGCTGCATGTGTGATTCATCCCCTACTTAACTTCCAGCGTGTTTCATATACTTCTTGAAAGTTGCTATTTCATTGTTATGCTCCAACAGACCAGAGAATACAATTTGAACTAATCCACCTTGGCTGGAAAGAGAATTGAGTCACGTGAGGATTGCAAAGGGGTGCTGAGTCTCCATTTTTATGGTGTCCTCCATTCTGACAGTGTTAAGTTAGGAACTGCATAGCCTGGATTCACAGCAAGTCAAACCAGCTGCTTAATTAACCCCTCGTCTAGGCCTTTATTTTATGCTCAGGTTGGCTTGTCCTCCACATCAGAGAGTCAGTTGGAGCTCAGGTGCCAAAAAAAGATTTTTTTTACTGATGCTGTATTTGCGGATGCATTTGTGGGTAGGGGATTTTTTTGCTAGGGGTAGATTTAATGCAGCAGAGAACCAGGGTATTGGCTGACCTTGCATATGGGAAAGAGAGACAAATAAACAAAACTATTGATCCCATTCCCGATGAGCCATTTAAACTCGACCAGGGCTGTCAAACTTGTGGACCATGGGCCAGATGCATCACACGCTGGCCATGCCCAGTTTAGTGAAGGGGGATATGTCACATGATGCCACTGTGACGATGCGAGTTTGATTCCCCTGAACTGGATGGTTAAATCAGAACCAGCATTTCCTATCGGGAAGAACAGTGACAATATTTTCTCCTACCCACAAAGGAAGGCAATGTGCTTTGAGAACCAGTTTGGTTTAGTGGTTAAGTCACCAAGCTACCAGACAAATTCCTTGTGTGTCCAATCACACTTGGCCAATAAAGAATTCTATTCTGTTCTGTTCTATTCTATTCTATTCTGTTCTATTCTATTCTAGAAAGTGGAAGATTGTGAGTTCAGTCTTAGCCACAAAAGCTGGCTGGGTGATTTTGAGCCAGTCACTCTCTCTCAACCCCATCTACCTCACAGGGTTAATTGTTGTGGGGCGTATAGGAGGAGGCATATGTGTGGGGATCCACTTTGAGTTATTTGCAAAAATAATAAAGCTGGGATACTAAGTTAATAAATAAACCTAATATTAATCCCCGCCTTGAAAAATCTGTCCATAAACAACGATTTTCAAAGTACTGCTGGAAGAAGTTTGAGGTTTTTTTCCCCAACAACGTACAATATTGGGAGGTCAAGGAGAGTGTTCTGTTTTGTTTAAAAAAGGGGGAGAGGGTCGTTCTTTTAAGGAAGGGGCGGGGGGAATCTTCACTTCCTTAACCAAGCAACAACATTTTTTAAAACTATCTCTCTTTTTCATATGCTAGATCAGTCCATCCTCTGGTTCTTTGGCATGTTAAATCTTTGTTAGGAAGTAATTCCTTCCTTTCAACTCATAGTCTTCAAATGGAACAGCAGTTGTCCAAGACCTCTCCTTGTTTTTCTTTCCTGCAAAAAAACCTGAACTTTGACTGCGTCTAGTATCGGGGTAATATATATCTACCTATATCTCTCACCATATGGGATTCCGCTCTTTTTGAGTAAAGAAATATACTCACATATAAGCCTGAATTTTTGATGGACCTGTTAGAGAAGCAAAGTTGGAAGACCTTCCTCTAAAGCCTTCCAGTAGACAGGTGGAGAATCAGAGCATCTAGATAGGTGTGCCAAATTCAAAATTGAGTATTCATGGGATATGGAACAAAATTGAGGAGTTATCTTTAAAGTTTCCACTTCCTTCATCTACTTTTATCCAACTGGAAATCTGGTGGATGGACTGAGTCATTCATTCAAATGAATAAGGCCACAAAGTTCAGAAACTGATTCAAGAATTTGTTTCCTTATTTAGCTAGTGGTTGTTGCAGTGCAAAGAGTGAAGACCAGGTAATTAATGGCTGACTTCTGCTTTAATGCAGGAAAACTGGTCCCCGCTGATTATTTATTTGTTATGTTTGAACACCCCCAAATTTCATAGATCCTTTTGTCATTGATACAACTTTGGAAGCCCTGCTGTGTGGTTATCAATTATATCTGCCTGTCTGCAATTCCTATTTTGGCAAATGTATATAGGATATACTTTTCCCAATAATCCTGATGCAGCCAGATTTACAATTCAGTGGAGATTTTGGAGATAAGGAGGGAGAGAGGAGAGGAGAGGAGAGGAGAGGAAAGGCTTAAGAGAGAAGCTAACAGCTCCAACAAAGAGGCAACTAAACAAAACATATCTGAATATCTGAGAGCAAATGAGAATCATATCGGAGGAATGTAATGGAGTCTTTGGAACACTCATGGAACAGGCACATTTGGCCAGCTGGAGACCTAAATAAGAACTCCTGATAGCATCTCTTGTTATCACATCTGCTTTGTGTCTAGCTTGCCTAGTTGAATTCCTGGGCTTTCTGATTAGCAGGCTTTTCTATATCTGGCCATGAGATGCTTGTGTGTGTGTGTGTGTGTGTGTGTGTGTGTGTGTGTGTGTGAGAGAGAGAGAGAGAGAGAGAGAGAGAGAGAGAGAGAGAGAGAGAGAATGGCTATTGTGGTCCATGGCAGAATTTATCAAATGAGCTGAAACTGGTACAGTTTGTTCCAGGCTGAAAAGGGCCAGAGCTGGCATCTGGTTTGTTTATTTCTCAATGACGACTGTTCACAGCAATGACAGCATCCATCTGGGAGACACCGCTTGCCTTGTTTATAGCTTTGAATTGAGTTGGATATTCCGTGTTGAGATCTCTCTCCCTCCCCCTTCCTTCCAGACCCAGAAACAGCAATGTAGCACAGGACCATTTCATACTCTGGTTTCATTTTTCTAAAAAAAATATAAATAAAAGCATACTCAAGACATCAGCAGATTATATCAGGGAGTGCAGCACAAAATTTATATACAGTACTCCTTCCTCCAAAAAATGTGCTTCTCTCTGGCTCATCTGAATAGCTTTATGGTATCTCAAGGGTTCCTTTATTATATTAATTTTCCTTCCAACTTTGGATACTCCTAGTTATCATGCCCCTAGAGTCTGAATCCGAGGAGGAAGCCGGACAGCTGACAGGGAATGGGAGTGTGGCTCCCTTAGCTGTGACCAGGCTGGGGGAGGGCAAAGTTCGGCTGGGCAGAGCAGGGTAGAGATAGAACAAGGAAGAGGGAGTTCAGAGGAAGAACCAGGCCCACCCCCTCTTCATCCAAGGGCACGCAGGGAGGAATGGAGAAGAGAGCAATGTGGGTTTTGTGACTTACAAAGAGGAAAGGGCCCTGATTCCCTTCATTAGCCACAGCTGGGAAGACAGTTGATAAGAAAGGCAGGTTGCGTGCAGCAGGCTGCTGGGAGCAAACATGGCTTTATCCTGTGTTGTCATGGCTTAGCTGTGTTCTTAGCGTCCCGACCGTGTGAGTTTTGCCGTGCCTTTAAGTCTGAAATTCTTGCTCCTGCCCTGCCAAATTAATTACTTCAGTTTGGCTTGTTTGGACTTTAAGTTACAGTTTATGTTGCTCATGTTTTAATTTTCTGCAGTCAAAGCCTGTTCCTTCGAGAGTTTTTCTCCAGCCAGAAGGTAACCTGGCCATTGGGAGCAAAGTTGGAGATAATAAAGGGACTCCAACTGATTATCTGACTGTGTTGCCTTTGTACCAGGCCCCTTTGGGTCACCACGACAGTTTACAGTATTGGTTTTTCCCAGCAATCTTCGACTTACCACAGTTCTTTTAGCGACTGTGTTTCAACAGCACTGAAAAAAGAGACTTATTTTTATGATTTTTCACATGATTGCAGCATCCCATGGCCATGTGATTTATATTCAGATGCTTGTCATTTGGTTCATATTTATGTCGCTTGCAGTTTCCCAAGGTCATGTGATCCCTTTTTACAACCTTCTGACAAGCAAAGTCAATGGTTACTAACTTAACACCTAAAGTGATTCATTTGACAACTGTGGCAAGAAAGGTCGTAAAATGGGACAAAACTCACTGAACAAAATTCTCACTTAACCCCAAATATGTTGACCTCAGTTGTGGTTGTAAGTTGAGGTCTACCTGTATTGCATTTTTCTATTTGAAGAAATGTTCACAATTGCTTAAGAATTGTTTCTGTGTTCTATCTTTAAACGTAGTTTAAAACCAGGAGTCTCCAACCTCAGCAACTTTAAGACTTGTGGACTTCAGCTCCCAGAATTCCTCAGCCAGCAAAGATGAATTCTGGGGGTTGAAATTGCCAAGGTTGCAGACCCCTGGTTTAAACTACTTTAAATGTGGTTAAAAAGAGCCCATGTGCTAGTTTATCACAAATTGTTTGGGTTTTGTTCTAATTCTGCTAATCTCAGGAGATTATTGATCTACAAGGAGTTCTGTTTCAGTAGACTCCTAATTAAGAGATTCTCATTTTAGGTATTTTTGTAATCTTGGCTAGTGAACTGGATCTTTGACTGCAAACATGTTATTAGTGTTCTCCAAACTGGTATCCTCTGGATAGATTAAATTGAATAGATTGCCACCATAATCCCCAGCCAACATCTGAATCATTAGGGATGTAGCCCCAAGTTTATAAGCAGTTGCAGAAAGAGCAAAATTCCATATATGACCTTTTAAATAATCAAATTCAAACATGTGTAAATTGCAGCTTAAATCTTGTTGAATTTTAACTGTAATTTAAATAGCTTGCCTGGCAAGAAATTTTAACTGAAAGATGTTGAAATTGGTTCCACGTTTAAAAAGCGCATGTTTGTTGAATTGTTCTACTAAATTCTGAAAATAATTTATGATTGTGAAATCATTTTTGTGTATGTTTTCTTCTTTCTTGACAGACTGGTACAGAGGCTACAGTCTTCGAAATAAATCCAAAAAGGTATATATGTTGTGTCTGTACATTAATTCCTCTGAACCTTCACTCTTAAAATTTATTTGGCATTCCTGATGCAACTTCATCTTCCATCAGGCTTCTATCACATCTCCTTTCTCTCAAGCTTATCCTAAATTGTGATAGCATTTTAAAAAGAATATTCCTTGATGTTATGCATTCTACATTTTTGTGACCCTGCTGCCTTTCCAACAGCTTTTTAGTCAGTATCAAAAACCTCTCAGCACATAGGAATACAATAATTCAACATTAAGAGAGTGAGAATCATTCTCCAAGCTTGTGGGTTGGTATCCGAAAATTTCGTTACCAGGCTAGATAATATCCCCAGTGGAGTTTAGGGTATGTCAATGTCAGTTATAAGGGCTTTAGGTGTGGATGTGTCAAGTGGGGGGCTTGTGATGGATCAGCTGCTGAGTCGTCAGAGTGTCTTGTGATGGGTCCTGTGATGGAACGAAATGTTTGGAAACCAACCCACAAGCGCGAGAACAAACCTTCACCCTACACCCAAGCTACAGATATTCATCACTATTGCAATTCAATATTAATTAAGCAGAAGGGAAAGAAAACGAATCACTCTGTTCCTGGCCTTTATGATTTAAAAAGCTGAGGGCCCAAGGATACTATTTGGTGGAAGAAGAAAAAAAAGGACCAAGAAGGCATACCAATAGTTAATACATACGATGGAAACATTGTCTAGTTCCTCAGAGGTCTTGAAGATTGGTGGGAGCCAACAGATTATGAAAAATAAGGATACGCTGAAATTATCCTGCAAGTTGAGTTAAGAATTAAATCTTGTTAACAGTGTGACGATCTAATAGCAAGCTCTTTTACCAGAAGCATGCTTCAAAGCAGGTGTGTAAACAGCAAAAGCCTGGTTTAGAAATAGAACCAGTTTGCGGATAATTGGATTATGAGGAATGTTTGCAGCATTCAATCTAAGGGTCACATGCAGCCAAATTTTGAGGTCACAGTTCAGTTAATTAACTACTTTGGTGATTAAGGAAGTATGGAAGGTGTGGATGTGTTTAAGTAAGTTCCTGTAACTGATTTTAAAAAATATGATGCAACGTAAGCAAATGAGTTCATATTTGTGTAGCCTCGATTATGAAAAATTCAATTTTGCATGATGCAAAATTTATTTTGTTTTCTTCGATCTTCCCAAGGCAAAGAGTGAAAAGTTCTACCAGTGAGGTATTCTATACAGAATGCAGAAAGGGAATAAGACTTAATCAGACAAAATAATTGAAGGCATGAAGAAATGTAGCTAAATCTGGTTTTTGTCAGAACTGTTTGCTAAACTTCTCTAGGTCTTACGCTCTTTGCACAGCGTCTTTGTGTCTTCTGTGTCTCTCTCTCTATTGCTTGCCATTTGCACCTTTACATTTCTCACTTAGAAGATTTCATTGGCTTCAGCCAGCCCAGACTTTTTCAGTGTAACTTGGTCTTTCTCTTGAACCATACTCTTCACCTTGGTAGGATGGGCCGGGTGTTGTCCCCTGCCCCGAAAGACTGCTTGCTGTTTTAATGCTGATGCAACAATTTTTAGCACTGATCCTACTAAATTATGGGATGGCCTTCAAGGGTATGGAAACAAAGGGGGCTTTGAGCCACCAATTGCCAACTGTATTGTAGGAGTTCTGTTCAGTGAATAGGAATTCTGGAGTTAATGATCATTTCACTTAAATTTTGACAAGTTTTTTTTCTGACAGATCCGTAGAGTTTCCCTTTCCATCCCATCCTATCCATCATTACTTGAATTGTGATTTTTTTTTCCTGGATTCAGTACAATACTTAAGGCACCATTTTAATTTCCTGTTGAATGAAATTCACTTTGGGAGATGTGATAGAGAGAACTGGTTTTCTGTTTTCCAAATTCTTTTTCTTTGAACTACATCCAGATCCCATCCAGACTGGAAAGGTGATTTTAGATTTCCCTGGCAAGCAAGCAAGCAAGCAAGCAAGACAAGCCAGAATCTAACTACAGTAGCTACTTTGCACTCTTGGATATCCTCCATTGTATCACAGTGGGATAATCAAAGCTTTAAACTCTGTTGGAGCTATTTCCATATTGATGCTCTGTGTGAAATGTATTAGTGTCACGGAGTCTGTCTTGATCTATGGAAATTATTCACCACAGCAAAGTAAGCTTTGCGAGTGGTTGGGGATCTTATTCGCAATGTTTTCCTCAGATCTTTAATCCACAGCTCATTTATCTTTCTGGAAAGACTTTCTTTTTGAGGGAGGAATAGGTGAAATCCTATCAGTCTTTGAGCTGTTGATGTGCATAAACAGTTTGTTTCACTCACAAAAATGATACTTAGCTGGGATATCAGAATGAGGTATCACTAGAGCCTCTAAAACATGGCAGCCGATCTTTTTCTGATGGTGGCCAAAAATAGACTAGGAAGCATTAGGGAGAGGTGGATCTGAAATGTTTAATTTTGGGGAAGGAGGTAGATTTTCCAAAACTGACATTATTAAAAGAAACACACAAGTTATGTAAGGACATTTTGATCAACTTTGTGTGTTATTTATTACCCTAAAAATGAAAGGTTCTCTTTGGCTTTAGGGAAGAATGGAACTTTAATTCATAACTCTTGATTTATCTGGAAGAAACCATATACCAGTGGGAATCACTGAGTCACTGACTTGGGTGGCCATATAATTTTTCTTAAATAAATGCTGTATATTAATACAAAGGAACCGTTGTTTGCCTACTGTTGGCATTGGCTTTAGAGCTTAAAAAATCTAATACATTTCAATCTACCAGTATATTTGGACATCAAATTGAAGCATAAAAATTGATCTTTTAAAAAGTAGAAGTTTGTTGATTTGAATAATTGATGCAATCTACAAGGAAAGGGACTGTCTGTGATTAGACTGTGTAGAAAACCAATGAAAAATTGGAGGCAGAGTTAATTAAAGGAAGGGTTGGGGAAACTGCATGGTTTTGCTGCTTATGAATATAACTACTTCCTCTAGGACTGACTTACCATTTGCATAAAATTAAGACCAACAGTGGGAACTGCAATTCTCTAATGCTTTCAGAGAAAGCATTAGAGAATTCCAGAAAAGAATGTCTTCTCTTAACCCTCTTCTTTTTCAAATTATCACATTTATTAGCATGATCTTTACTTTAGAGGGATTCTTCTTCTTGGATTAAAATTGCCGGCACAGCTTCTTTGTGCATAATTCTAAAAGCTACCAGTGATAATCAATTAATATTGCATTGAAAGGAGTTCTTTACGGAAATATGCCCCCTTCTCTGCCAGAATATAAATGAATATAAAACCTTCCCACAATAGTTTTTTGTGGTGGTTTTGAGTCGCTCAGTGATGCTACATACTAGCTTTCCTACTAAAAACTTTCAGGATGATTAGGACATCAACAGAGGGAAAGTTTAATATCTCTTGTACCTCTCAGAATCCTTTGGATCCTAAATGTAAGGAAGATAGCATCCTATCAGTATTCCAAGAGGCAGTTCTAGTTTTTGGAGCAACAAGAGAGGAAAAAAGCAAAGGTTTAGAAAGATATGTAAAGAAGGAAGTGGATCACTTCATCTCTGATAGCTCAGAGAACCTCACATAAATGTTGTACGTTATGATTCTTGATTCTTAATGAATGTATCTTTTCTTTATGTATACTGAGAGTACTTCCACCAAGACAAATTCCTTGTGTGTCCAATCACACTTGGCCAATAAAGTATTCATTCTATCTATCTATCTATCTATCTATCTATCTATCTATCTATCTATCTATCTATCATCTATCTATCTATCTATCTATCTATCTATCTATCTATCTATCTATCTATCTATCATAACCAATATTACAGTACCAATAGAAGATAATATTTGTAACTCAGGATTGAAATGTGGGGTCCTTGGGGCTCTCTGAGCTTGATGGTTTTCTTGCACTTATAACTTATCACTCACTTTTCTTCCTTGTTGTAGTAGAGGAAGAAATTGTTCGTCGAGATTATCTTAAAATCACCCATCTTTGAGTTGTTATAGGAAATAGTAATGATTTTGAAATCCATGATGGTAAATAGAGCTGTTGGGCTAGAGTTTCTGAAGTGACAAAAGCTTGAACCTCAGATTTTTGCTTTCATAATTCTCTACCCATTTGATAAAGTCATAGATTGTTTTGTCTTTTGTTTAGGGTATCTTCCCATCAACCTACATTCATCTCAAGGAGGCAACGGTGCAAGATGGTGGGTGAGTAGCTAAGATCTTTTTTTTAAAATTTTGCAATAAATCCTAGAATTCTTTTTTTTTTTAATTACACAGGTTCCATTCTGTGAACCAAGTCCTGCAAACAGTTGTTTGCATTATTTCATATAGTATTCACAAGTTTTGTTTATACAGAATAGCTGAGAATGAATATGAAATAGTGTCTAGGAGATGGACAGGTGAGACTGAGGAAAGCTTCCTTTTTAGCCCCAGACCATATCCAGAATGAGCCAAGTTAAACTTTGGGAACTTTTTAAAGCAATAATGGTAGAATATTTTGATAAATAAGACATGAACATGCAACATGTATATATATAAATCTAGTAAGTCCTAAAAAGTGTTTGTTGGGCAGAGTTTGTTGACCAACAATAATTCCAACCACTTTTCTATAGGCAAAATGAGACAGTCATTCCTAGTGAAGTTCCACTGGTCCAAGAACTCACCTCTACTTTGCGAGAATGGGTAGTGATCTGGCATAGGCTGTTTGTGGTAAGTACTAATTCTCTTTATTGGGCCACCATAAGTCTTCTCCCAAAGCAAATAACAGGTTCAGGTGGATAAGCTTTATTAGCTATTATGATCAGAGGAACAATTTTAGAAACCATCAAGAGGTGGTTACACTTTGATTTGATTTATATCCTGCCTTTCGTTCAGAAACTGAAGCTGGCATGCATAGTTCTATGTCCCATGTTTTTCTTTTAACAATCTTGCAAGGTAAACAACGCTGGCTAAAAGTTACCTAGTATACTTCCACTGTGCAATATGGACGTGTGAAGATAAATTGGAAAGGCAGGAAGATATAAGCAAATACATCCTATTCGGTGTTCTGATATATGGGTGTTTCATTCGGATTCAGTCTAACCCTTTGGGGAATGATTAAGTGGAAGGCTATGAGTTTTCTGTGGGTCCTTTGAGCTAGGTTGTTTTCTTGCAGATGTTTCATTACCCAACTAGCTAACATCATTAGTGGTAGAAGGTGGATAATTCTCTGGTTATATACAAGTGGCTTGCCCTGTCAATATTGGTAGGAGTATTCTTGGTTTCTTGATTAGGCTGTTGTTTACAGTTTGATTATTTGTGTGAGTGGGCATTTCCTTCACTGAGGTATTCTTTATTGATTGATTGTTGGTCTGATATTAATCCTCTGTTAGTTTCTGCTTATCTGGGTGTTGACTGCTGGCATCTGCCAGAAAACAACTAAACTCAAAGGGCACCAAGGATTCCACAGTTCAACTCTGAGCTACAAATATTCTCTTATGAGTTTCCTATTAGTACAGGATGACTTTGCTGTGTTATTTGTTTAATTTTCTGTTTTTCATTTCTTCTCTGTTCTAGGCAAACAAAAGCTCCCTTTTTCGCCATGTACAACAGATGACCTATAGTTTGATTGAATGGCGATCTCAGATCCTATCGGGCACTCTCCCCAAGGATGAGTTGGCTGAACTCAAGAAGAAAGTCACAGCCAAAATCGATTATGGCAACAGGTAACACAGGCTGTCTTTCTCAGACTTCAGTCACATCCTCACTGTCAGGGTTCCAAGGAACAAACCCAAGGCAACCTGGAGTTTCCTCAAAGTATGAATTCATTAGGAACGTCATATTGGCACATCTGGAGAAAACCCGACTCTGAAGGACCTGAGGTTTTTCCCACCCAAATCAAACCCCCAAGTTCTTTCCCTCAGGTCACATGTCCATCACATGATCCAATCAGGATGCAGCCCCAATTCCGGCTGGCTTTGGTCCACACCTCTCCAACACCTGGTAGCATGTCCTTGGCTCCCACTGGAACGAATGTTGTTTTGTCTACACATCCCCAGCTATCTCTATCTCCTCCCTCACATTCCCACAGCTTCAACCGGCCCTGCTGTGGCAGTCCTGAAGATGCTCCCCAAAATGGCTTCAGGGCTGACACTTGGACATTGAATAACTAGAGGTGCAGGTTTGAGAATAAAATGTTCTTGGTGTGTCTAGATATGATGGATCAGCTTGTTGATATCAGAGTCTCCATGATCTCATGAGCCCAGCTCTAAAATTTGAGTTTATGGACTTTTCAGGCTCAGGGATTTTATTAGGACAGAGGTCTCCAAACTTGGCAACTTTAAGACTTGTGGACTTCAACTCCCAGAATTCTCCAGCCAGCTATTCTGGGAGTTGCAGTCCACAAGTTTTAAAGTTGCCAAGTTTGGAGACCCCTGTATTAGGATATACAATCCTGTAGTCCTCGACTTACAGCAGTTCATTTAGTAAATGTTCAAAGTTACAACAGCACTGAAAAAAGTGACTTGTGATCGTTTTCACAGTCGACCTTTGGAGCAGCCCCATGGTCAGATGATCAAAATTCAGATATTTGACAACAGGTTCTTATTTATGATGGTTGCAGGGTCCTGGGGTCATGTGATGCCCTTTTGTGACCTTCTGACAAGCAAAGTCAATAGGGAAACCCAATTCACTTAACAACCAGGTTACTAACGTATCAACTGCAGTGATTTACTTAACAACTGTGGCCAGGAAGGTTGTAAAATGGGGCAAAACTCACTTAACAAATGTCTCACCATAACAATAGAAATTTGGGGCTCAATTGTGGTCATAAATCAAGGACTACCTGTACAGAGCAATTTGCTTACTTGAGTATATTTTGTTGATTTTCTCCATTTGGTTTTCTTAACTTTCTTTCGCTGTTTGTTCATTTACTGTTATGCTCATATTGTCAGCTCCCATTATTCATCTCATAAAGGCTGAGAGTCCAATAATGGTTGCAAAGTGCGCACTCGCCACCAACTAAGATCCGTCTCTGCTCTTGACAGCTGTGGATACCAGCAGCGTGCTGGATATCTGAAACTGTATGTTTTCAGTCAAGGTTCATGGTAAAGATTTTTTCAACCCCTCCTCCCCCATTTGCACACAGCACAGGTTTGCAGGGAGGATCTTCCAGCTACCTAAAGTCATAGATACAACGTCAAATAAAAACATGTCTAAAAACAAGCTGTTTGCACAACCCTTTAGGTTATATTTCCATTTCATTTTGGATCCTACTTTTCTTTGTCCTCCTGCCCTTTTCCAAAGACTTCTTTATGGTTGATACGCCAAGCTTGATTTCACACTAGATTATGGGACAAGTGGAGTGAATGGAGTGAATAAGCACAGTGTTGTCCAGATGCCAGAGCTAGTGCCTGAGGAACAGGTGCTGGAGATTTTGATTCTAAAGAGCTCTAGAGGATGGAGATACCTCCAAATCTACCAGACACCTTGTTTCCCTTGTGCACAACAAACATCCTGCAATAGCTTGGCATTTTTTTAGATCGTTTGACTTTATAACTAGAAGGAAAAGGGGGCTGAACTTGCAACTCAATTCCTCCAATCTGCCCACCTACCCTATTAATTCATACATACATACATACATACATACATACATACATACATACATTCTTATGTGTATATGTTTGCGTTTGAGAGAGAGAGAGAGACTTGGAAATTAAGCAGAATCAGGCTTGATTATAGTTGGATGGCGATTACCATGAAATGTCACAGTTTTAGACTCTGGTGGAAAGTTGCCAAACTTCCTAGAAATGTCAATAGCAAACTACTTCCATGTGGCTGCCAACAAAACTGCAAGATTGTCAAACTTCTTGTGACTCTGTAAACCGCTTAGAGGGGGCGGTAAAGCACTGTGAAGTGGTATATAAATCTAAGTGCTATTGCTATTGCTGTTGACTGATGCTAGACTACAAAGCCCTGCAGGCAGGGATTCCAGGATATATGTACAGTAACACTTTGGGTAAGCTGATTTGTTGTAATACCTAGGAAAGCTTTTCAGGAGTAAATCCAGCAACTACAAAGTGTAAAGTGTAAATTCTGCTTAAAGTAGAAGCAAACTACTAATTTTGCACTTCCTCCTCTACTGGGATGGTGCAGTGGGCTAAGAATCTGCAAATTTGGGGATATAAAAAGCAGTGGACATCTGGGTCTTGTTATAGCAACATTCTGGTCTTCAGCCATCGCCCACCTTTAGAGCCCTGATATAGATTGGTTCTAGAGAGGTCCGACATTTGGATCACAAGTAGGCAAGGATGCTTTGAATCCAACACTAGCAATATCCAGATTTTGTGCGCCGTTTAGTTACTGCAGATATTAATGCCCATCCAAATCAGTTAGTTTTGGATGTTTAGTTTATGTGGGGTTCTTGGTGCTTTCAAAGCTTGGTTGTTTTCATTAACAAACTGGTAATATCTTCAGTGTTCCATTCTCTTCTATTTAGCTTATGTCATGCTTTGGTTTGGTTCATGTTTCCTGTTTTGTTTTGTTCCCTGCTTAGAGTGAGACAGACAGTTATATAATGGATCAGACGAATAAAATGTAAAAGAAACCCTTAGATCGGGAGTGTCCAACTTGGGCAGCTTTAAAATCTGTCTATTTCAATTCCGAGAATTCCCCTGGGAGATGATATTCACAGGTCTTAAAGTCGCCTGGTTAGACACCCTTGCCTTAGATACTACATTTATTGGTAGCCACAATGTTGCTTCATCAGAAGTATTTGCTGAACATTTTAGTTCTTGTTTGAAGCTTCCTAAAAATCTGAAAACTGCGTAGGGGAAAATTTGGATAACTCGTGGATACAGCTACCTTTAAAGTGGGACCTTTGTAGTGAGGAACTTCCATACTTTCTGTTCCAGATTTTGTTAGTAAATTATTAAAGTATATGTGCACTTCCTTTAGCTATGCAAAATTCTTTCACATTTTCCTTGAATCTGGGCAGTGTTACTTTCCCTTATATGAAGTGTTCAGTTAGCTTTCAGTGATACGCAGATAAAAGAAGACTTTTAAAAACACTTGCAGGAAATAGATATAACTTGCTCTAGGATTTGGGCTCTTAGTTTAATTGAAAAAATATTGTCTTTAAATTGCAGAGGACAAAGGTTATCTGTCCGGATTTTTTAGGTCTCTTTCTTTGCTCTTGTCCTAAAGGTGCTTTGTCAAAAGGCAACTGGGCTTTCTTATTTTTTTCCTTGAAGATGTTTTACTTCTCATCCAAGAAGCTTCTTCAGTTCTGACTGAATGGTGGAGAATGGAAGGATTTATATTCCTTGCAGTCTTCTGGTCATTGGCATTCAATCTGCAAATCATTGAAGCCACTTGGAGGTTTATCTATTGCCTCAGATCACCTGAATAGTGCAAATAGGTGTGGAGCCTTCTTGGAACTGATGAAAGGACTGTGTTGTAAACAGGAGATAGATGGTGTCACATCCCTCCTCTTCTGTTGAGAGACAACTGTACAGATACAGATTAACAGAGTTGGAAGGGACCTTGTAGGTCATCTACTCCAACCCCCCACCCAAGCAGGAGACCATTTCTGACAAATGGCACTCCAATCTCTTCTTGAAAGTCTCCACTGATGGTGCTCCCACAACTTCCGAGGGCAAGCTGTTCCATTGGTTTTGATTGTTCTCACTGTCAGAAAGTTTCTTCTTATTTCCAGGTTAAATCTCTCCTTGTTCAGTTTCCATCCATTATTCCTTGTCCGGCCTACAGGCGCTTTAGAAAATAGCTTGATCCCCTCCTCCCTGTGGCAGCCCCTCAAATATTGAAAGACTGCTATCCTGTCTCCCCTGGTACTTCCCTTTACTAGACTAGCCATGCCTGGTTCCTGCAACCGTTCATTGTATGTTTCAGCCTCCAGTCCCCTAATCATCCTGGTTGCTCTTCTCTGCACTTTTTCTAGAGTCTCAACATCAGTTTAATGTAGATGGCCTCTTTGACCTATCTTTCAAATCAGCAGTCCTCTCTGTCCAGAATGTGGGCTTTGCTGTCTTCAAATGCAGAATCTGACTGCTGAATTTTGTCCTGAGGGGTTTATTCTCCTGTGTTCTTCTATGTCTCCTCTTTGCTCTTGATTACCTTCTTGTTTTTCTGGATTATTTGCAAGGATTTTGGGACTGGACCTGGTGGTGCGAGATGATAATGGGAACATACTGGATCCCGATGTTGCCAGCATGATTTCACTCTTTAAAGCACACGAGACAGCATCCAAAAGAATTGATGAAAGGATCCAAGAAGAAAAGGTACGTTTTTTTTTTTTTTTTAGTATATTGTTTCCTGATCAGGAAGCTGGCGAGAAGTAACTTTATGCAATAATGGAACCCAAAAGAGTTTCACAGTGGCCTAAAATGTTGTAAGTCTGTGGTGAGGCTATGCATCAACAAATAGAACGTGTACTTCCTTCTCAACATTGCAATATCAGTACAATCAATAATTGCTGTGCTTTTTTTAGAAATGGACAGCAGATTTTTACCTAGGATTAACTTTGTTTTTAAGGGAAGAAGAATTGAAAATACTTTCTGGGCCTAAATGAACATTTCACCATTTCACTTTGAAGAAATCCCTTAGATGAAAAAAAAAAAATCAGAAAGACATCCAATATTTTATCTGGGGTGGAGTTTAAAGGCTGAACTCTTGTGTACATGCTGAACATGCATTCACCAATGGTAGAGAAAGGATTAACTTGCTCAGATTTCCCCTGTTATATAACCATCTTCCTGAGTCTGTTGAACCCTGGTTTCTGATTTAGTTCAGCCTTCTATATGTACCTTACACTGGATTTGAAGCCCAGCAGATTGAATTCATCAAACAGCAAAAGGGAAATTCTGATATTTGCTTCATGAGCATGTTGCAAGCATAAATAAGATAGAGCTGGGTTTAATGCATGTTCATTAAAAAGAATTATGCTGTTTTAGCATTGCTAATAGCCCATGGAAGAAAGTTTAATTAAAACTCCCATGTAATGAGATAAAAACTTCAGACTTTCTGGGAGTTTTGTTTGATTAACCTCTTGATTCAAATGTAGAATAATATTTTGGAAGGAGAAAGTGTGTGCTTAGAAACATAGAAAATGGCAGAAAAAAAGAGTTAGCGGTCGATCAGATCTGTCTTCCTTCCTTCCTTCCTTCCTTCCTTCCTTCCTTCCTTCCTTCCTTCCTTCCTTCCTTCCTTCCTTCCCTCCCTCCCTCCCTCCCTTGCTTCCTCTTTCTTTCTCACTCTCTTTCTTTTTCTTTCTTTTTCTTTTTCCCACTCTCTTTCTTTTTCTTTCTCTCACTCTCTTTCTTTCTCTTTCTCTCTCTCTCTTTCTTTCCCTTCCTTTCATTTTTATATTTTATCTACTTTGATTTTATTTTTGTTAGATGACTGTCATGTTATCTCAATTAGTGATGTTTGATCCACCTCATCCACTGGACATTGGTTTCAAGCTTCCACCACTCTTCCTGTGAAGTACTGCTTTCTAACCCTACTTTTGAACTTCCAATTTACATTATGGTTGATATATTGTGGTGCCTGGCATCATCTTAGAACTGAGAAAAGAGTGCTTGCTAGCTCCAGCTTTTAGAAGTAGAATTTGAATTATAATAAATGTATTTATTTATTTAAAATAGTTCCAGCTTTTATAAGTAGAATTTGAACTGTAAGCCACCCAGAGTCACTGGATTGAGTTGGGCAGCTATAGAATTTGAATGAATGAATGAATGAATGAATGAATGAATGAATGAATGAATGAATATGCATTAACTAGTGAAGGTATGAGTGTGTATTCAGATATTTTGATCTTCTTTTAGTTGACCACAAAATTCATTTAATCACAGCCCGGATTCTGCATACATGCTGCCATGGTGTGTGAACATACCACACTTTCACTTTTAGGGAAACTATAATAGTCTTACTTAGATAATGGCTAGAAAAACAGACAGTTTTATTAGATAATTTAGCTCTTCCTACATTCTAACTTTTCCTTTAATTTCTTATTCCCAACAAGTCTCTTCAGCAGAATGTAGATCGACGAGGACAGTCTATCTTTAATAACACCCACACTTACAGCCTGTACATCAATTTCAAGAATTTTGTCTGCAATATTGGTGAGGATGCAGAGCTGCTTATGAGCCTTTATGATCCAGACCAATCCAAATTTATTAGGTATGTTGCTAGTGGAATCTTTTTCTAAAACCTCTCTATTGGTTGTATGTTGCAGTATGGTAGCTATTATGACTTTAATGCTTAACAGTACAGGTAGTCCTTGACTTACAACCAGAATTGAGCCCAAAAATTCCTAAGTGAGTTTTGCCCCATTTAATGACGTTTCTTGCCACAGTTGTTAAGTCAGTCACTGCAATTGTTGAGTTAATAAGACAGTTGTTAAATGAATCTGGCTTCCCAATTGACTTTGCTTGTCAGAAGGTCGCAAAAGCCGATCCCATGACCCCAGGATGCTGCAACTGTCATAAATAGGAGTCAGTTGCCAAGCATCTGAATTTTGAACATATTATCAGGGAGATTCTGTAATGGTCATAAGTGTGAGAAATGGTCACAAATTGTTTTTTTTCAATGCCATTGTGACTTTGAACAATCACTAAATGAACTATTGTAAGTCAAGGACTATCTGTATGTCATACAGGCCTCTCATGAAGATGAAAAGCTGACTTTTAGTTTGAAGAAAATAACTGTCCCTTTTCATTAAAAAACGGGGACCTGTGGTTTAGCCATTATAATTGATTAAAGTGAGAACATTTTGTTGCAAATAATATACAAGTGCTTTAGATCTATCTCTTCTATCACTTTCCCCTTCGTTGATCTTATTCCTAAGGATGGGGAAAATCTCAAACACTATAATTTCCATTTAAGGCAATTCTTTGTGCCCTTATTCTCTCTCTCTCTCTCTCTCTCTCTCTCTCTCTCTCTCTTGGACACTGGCTCACAGTATGCTGCAATTTAGGATCAGAAGGACTTCCTTGTTTGATTTCTATAAAAGCCAAAGCACCTGAAAAATCTGTTTCCCTTTGACATTCATCTTGGACATAAAATTGCCTTGGCATTGTTTTAATGCTGGGCAAAGTGATTTGTATGTCATGAACAGCCTGACTATTGTCTCTTATTATGGTTCATCACACAGTCAGCCAAATGTTCAGACTCGATTTGACACTTTTGTCAACCTATTGAGTCTTTACCAAGGACAGGCAGATCCAGATGTTTGATAGACCAATGGTCATCTTGTCACTTCTAATCTGTTCAAGTGGTGCTCCATTGTTTGGGGATTACCTTCAAAGCACTTACACAGTATTACTATTTGCAATATTAAAAGTACTACCTTTGCTTTCTTTTGCCACAGTCGTTCTATTTCTATTTGCAGGTCTTTTATTATTATATTATTACTATTATTTTAGTGAAAACTACCTGGTTCGTTGGGGAAGTAATGGAATGCCGAAGGAAATTGAAAAGCTTAACAACCTTCAAGCTGTCTTTACGGTAAATTTTCTCTTTGCCTTCTGAGTTCTAGCTACTGGCAGATAACTTCATTTTTATAACTGTGATCCTTTGATATCTTCGTTGTGATAGCATCATTGGGCAAGGAGCCATGCTGTGAATGGGAGGGGTCAACATAATCTATTTCATTGTCTAACAAGCACAATGGTTTTGAAAGATGTCTCATATTTATCTCCATAACAAAGCCAATTAACTTTTCAAAAAGGTCATTTTGACACCCAACATGTACCTGGTTGCTTTGATGCTCAGCCATACCTTGAATAAGAGCTTTTTCCAACCAGTCGGCCATGCAATCTCTGATCTCTGATTTTAGTGTGTTCTTTATGGTGTATCTCAGGGTTTTCCAAAGTGTTAATACTGAATCCCAAAAGTCAATTGGATTCTCACTGTTGTTATTCAGAGTATTTTTTAGTTAAAGTAGCATTCATTAAGTTGATTTCATGTAATAAATCTTTGGGAGTTGATGAACAATCAGAACATTCATAAAGGGGCCAAGGAGCAGAAGAATTTTGGTAGCCCTGGCATATTTGGTCTGTTTTATCCCCTAATCTTTCAATTTTGGGGAAAAAGGCTTACCTAAGATCTTGGAACTGTCCCCAGTCCTAGCCAATAATGCTTAAGATACAGTCTGGAAAATTTAGTCACTTTAAAAGCTAGTATGTATGGGAACATAATCATTAGGCAAGGTTCTGCATTCTAAAGTTAGTTTTATTGTTTATACCAACAGTGGTTGGTAATGAGCATTCTTAACAACTGCCAAATAATGCAGTCTTCCCTAGAGGAAGAAGATGATTACAGGTAGTCCTTGACTTACAACAGTTCATTTAGTGACTGTTGAAAGTTACAACGGAACTGAAAAAAGTGACTTATGATCATTTTTCACATGAACAACTATTGCAGCATCCCCATGGTCAAATGATCAAAATGCAGACGCTTGGCAACTGACTCTGTGATGATCCAGGGTGGGATACAAAATAAACACAGTCACAAAAAACAGGTGAAGCCCCTTTTATTCCTTCACTTTGTTTCCAAGCTCCAAATATCCTTGACTGGAGACAAAAAAACTCCCACACAAGCAGTTACAAGAAGGATGAAATGCTGTTTAAACTAAAAATGCAGTTTAAATTATAAAGAGTACAAAACAACACAAACCAGGCAAGATAAGGGCTTGAAAATGTCCATGGATATCAGAACACACACTGGGAAGAATGCCAAACTCAGAGATTAACAATAAATTAGAGATATTTCCACACGTTGTTTCCAGCACTTGCCCGTACACATGTTCATCCTCTTAGCCAGTTGTCACAGTTGCAGCCCATGAAGAGGATCAAGGCCCTCTCCTCCCGAGGAGACCATGTCTCTCCCATATCCTCTCCTCCCTGCTTGCCCTAGGATGGAGAGGGGATGGGCCTGGGTCCTCCTCTGACTGCCCAGCCGGCCTCTGCCCTTCCCCAGCCTCCTCCACAACCTCCAGAGCCACACCTCCACTCCCTGTCGGCTGTTCCTACTCTCCCTCAGAATCAGTTTCCACCAGAGGCCTGACAGACTCATATTTATGACGACTGCAGAGTCCTACCTCACAAACAAAGTCAATGGGGAAGCCTGGTTCACTTAACAACCATGTTACTAACTTAAGAACTGCAGTGATTCACTTAACAACTGTGGCCAGGACAGTCATAAAATGGGGCAAAATTCACTACACAAATGTCTCACTTAGCAGCAGAAATTTTGGGCATAAGTCGAAAGCTACCTGCACCAATTTAGCCCACTTTATTTGGGGCATCTTGGCAATGACTACCCTTCCCCCCCCGCCCCACATGCCCAATTCACCCCAACTTCTTCCCATCCATGGAGCTACGGGAGAATTGATATTGCTTCGCTGTTGTTGGAACAATGTCCATTCCTGTTTTCAATTTCACTTTGGCAGAAAGTCCAAGAGACAGAGGTATTTCCGCTGCAGCAAGGAGGAGGAGTGAATTTACCTAATCCAGCTAATAAAGATTGCAAACATAAAGTAGAAGTTCATTCTGCTGATTCATTTCCCCTTGGCACAAAAAAATACTCCTTGCATAAATGTTGGTCATTTGAACACTCCTAATAGAAATTGGCCTAAGAGCTCGTTTGGCACAATGGTTAAAGCTGCAGCCCAGGAACCGGGAGACCATGAGTGTTAGTCCTACCTTTGGCGCAAAACTAGCGGGGTGACCTTGTCCCAACCCAGCCCTGGGAAGGAGGCAAACCACCTCTGAAATCTTGCCAAGAAAATTGTTCAGGCAATCACCAGGACTCAAAGCTGACTTGAGGGCAAATTTTACACACACACACACACACACACACACACACACACACACACCAGTTTTGATATACATCTATCTATCTATTTATTTATCTGTCATCTATCTATAGAGAGATAGAGAGATATATCAAAGCTGGTGTGTGTGTGTGTGTGTGTGTGTGTGTGTGTGTGTGTGTGTGTGCTAGCTTGGTGCCTATATAGGCACCAAGCTAGAAAGCAGGAGACCGTGAATTCTAGTTCCACCTTAGTCATGAAAGCCAGCTGGGTGACCTTGTCCCAATCCTTCTCTTCCAGCGCTGGGAAGGAGGCTTATAAAATCTTGCCAAGGAAATTGCAGAGACTTGTCCAGGCACTCACCACAAGACAAAGCTGACTTGGAGGCAAAAAGAAAAGAAAAAAAAAATCCTACATACATTCATGGGTTTTGGACTATATAATATAACTAAATTAGAATAAATTATGTTTTGTTTCTCATGTGATTTATTAACTTTCCAGTTAATGGGGTGGGTGGCCATCTGAATGGGTGGCCATCTGAATTAGCAAAAAGATGATTGACAGAGAGAGAGAGTCTCTCTCTCTCTCTCTCTCTCTCTCTCTCTCTCTCTCTCCCTCCCTCCCCCCCCCCCCCCCCCCAACAGAGTTTGATCTAGTGATAAAAGCGTCAGGCTAGAAAGCAGAAGATCATGAGTTCTAGTCCTGCCTTATTAATGAAAGCCAGCTGGTGACTTTGGGTCACTATAAATAAATAAATTAGATTCTTTCCACGTCTTCATAAGCCAATTCAATATGCTCCAAGTGCTTTGATACTTCAGTCATCACTTCTGTTGTCCCCTCTCCCCAGGACCTCAGCAGTTCTGACTTGATCCGGCCTCGGGTCAGCCTAGTGTGTCAAATAGTGCGAGTTGGCCACATGGAGTTGAAAGAAGGCAAGAAGCATACTTGTGGCCTCCGGAGACCTTTTGGAGTAGCAGGTACAAAGCCTTGTTGTTGGTGCTAAGTTCTTCCTTTCAAGAAATGTGTCCTGGAAAATAACAGTTGAAGTGCTGGGTTCAGTTCTTCATCTGGCCAGTTGCATGCTGAGGTTCAACACGATAAGAAGACGAAAGCAAGATGAAGGCCCCTTTCTCTACTGCAGAGTGGAGGTGGTCTTCATCATCCTTGATCTATCAGGAAGCTACAGTGATATGAAACTGGCTGTCCCCATCTTGCTTCTGATTCATCTGTTCCCCATCGTTGCAATCATCTGAGTTTCCCTCAAGGAATGGAAGACAAAGACACTTTGGGTACTTTGAGGTGGCTTTTAGATGATATTGGAATTGCAGGACAAATACTACTGGTAAATTGACCCTGGTGTGTATAAGGACAACGTAAAGTTGCCTCTCAAATGAGCTGTGGATGAGATTAAGAGGTCATGAGGACATGGCCAGGGTTAAAAAAAATGTTCTTAGGGCAAGTTAGCAAGTTATTGCTCTCCTAATAACTGTCTTTTCCTACGTTCTCTAAAAGTATTTTCTGGACCGAAAAAAGCGATATAGTATAAGCCAGAACCTACTTTGTAAAGCCATTCCAAATATAAATGTGCTAGTATAAAATAAAAGACATTAAGTCACTGTTTCATAATAATTTATTCTAAATCTTTCATGCTAAGAGAAGATCTTGAATGGAAGTTTATAGATGGTCTGAATATCCTTTTTATTAAATGGCCAAGATCAGCTTTTAAGGAGGTTGCCTTCAAACCAACTGTTCTCTTCTTTTTTTGAGTTAAGATTATTGAGTTATAAAGTAATATAAAATAAAAAGTAAATAGGAAAGCAGTGGGGATGGAAAGGGGAAGGAGAAGTGAGGAAAGATAAGAGAGAAAGAAAAAGAAGTGTTGACTTCCGACTCTCTCTGTTGCAGTAAAATAAGACATTAACATCAAATTACAACTTTTGCTTCTATCAATCTAATCAGTAAATCCCAAAGTCAAAGTTTCATTCTTTTCCACATCAAGCATGAAGTTCAGAAGTGGTCTCCATGTGGAAACAAAAGTACTTCTGTTTTTTTCTTTAATCAACCAATCTCACAACAGCAACTTTATATGGAGAACAGAAAAACCCAATTAAAGGTTTTTTTCTGTTCTCCATGTAAAGTTGCTGTTATGAGATTGGGGGCCAGATTAATCATTTAAATGAAAAAAGGAAGGAACTAACCAACCAACCAATCAACCAAGTAAGGCATGCTCCATACTTTGTGTGATTTATTTGCAAAGCACTGAAATAGGTAGTTTTATCTGTTTTCATGATTGATAGAAGGTCAACCAACCAATGTTTCCTGAGTTTGGTTTAAGTCTTGGTTTCAACAAGGTTTTATAATCTTAGATACATTAGGGCTTTAGAATTCCTAGCTAACATGGCCTTTGATAATGTTGAAAGGATTTCTGGAAATTGATGAACCAGTACATCTGGAAGGCATGAGTTTTTACAGGTTTGAAATTTATATCAAGAGTTTCCAACCTATTAAGACATTTTTGCTGTAATCAGTAAAAGCCTATTTTTTTTCCCTTTAGTGATGGACATTACAGATATCATTCATGGGAAGGTGGACGACGAAGAGAAGCAGCATTTTGTTCCCTTTCAGCAGTGAGTAGTTAAAAATCTAAATAAAAACAATAAAAAAGAATGCACAATTTTGGGGGGAGCTGGTGGTCATGTCTATATGCTTTCCAGAAAGTGGGCAGGTCCAAGACAAGAAGTGAGATAAGTTAAGACAAAATCTGTAAATTAAATTGAAGCAGTGTACGTGGTTTATCAGAAGTGATCTCAGTGAGCTTCTTCCACAGGCCTATATGGAATCACTTCCTTACTTGACTGGAATCACATTTGATGAGAGTTCTCAGCATGGAACGGGCCGTGTTCTAGTATTGAGACCAGCATGTATGCAAACTCGTGGTTAGACCTTCCCTGCACGGGACAGGGCTGAAATAAAGAGGGATAAAATAGTGCAGGGATTTCATGTCCAGAGGCACAGGAAGTGGCCCATGGGTAGTTACAGCTCTGCCCCTACCCACCCCCCCCATATGGTTTTCACTTTTAACCATTCTCATGAATGAACAAATTATGTTTGTTATGAGATTAAAAAGTTTTGTGAATCAACTTGAAGAGATTTACCAACTATTCTTATTCAGCCAGTCCCTGCAACATTGGAACAATGGGTGGGTAGATGGATGGATGGATGGATGGATGATGTGCCATCAACACATCATTTTACGCTAAATGACCACATAATAGGGTCAGACAAGAAGATCTGTTCCTAACCTGGTCTTTCAGATCTTCTTCCTGCAAGAGGAATCTTCTTATTTTTAATTCATAATCTGATAATGTTGACAATCTGGAAATTTACCTCTTCTTTTTCTCCTTCTTTCCTCTTCAGGATTGCCATGGAAACATACATCAGGCAACGGCAGTTAATCATGGCACCTTTAATAACATCTCATGTGATTGGAGAGAATGAACCCCTCACGTCAGTCTTCAACAAAGTTATTGCGGCCAAGGAAGTGAACCATAAAGGGCAAGGTACACACTGGAAAGATGGCTCCTGGAAGCATTGGAAAGAGGGGAGGGGGGGAGGAGGGACATTCTTTTGAAGTGAAAACTCATTCATGGCTTTGGATGGTTCACTGGTCAAGGACATTGGCTTGGGCTCAGAAAATCTTTCATCCATTTGATTCAGTTTTCCTGATGAATGGGGAGAGGCACACAATTTTAGCTGGCACCTTGATGATGTGTAGGTAACAAACTACAATAAAATTATGTTAGTGGGAAGTTGCAGGAGGGGTTGAAAGTATGGCGTGAAAGAAACAATGTTCTCCAAGGAGAAAAAAAAATGAGAAAAGAGATCCCTAAATCAATCCTGTTTTATATGAGCAAGAGGGACAAAAAATATTTGGCGCTAAATCCTCAAAAGTCAAAGTAAAACACAGAGGAATTGTTAGTGTTTGGGGACAAACCCCCGAGCAGAGTGCACAGCAGCAGTCAAGCCAGGCAGCCAAATGAGAGTGAGGCTGGGCCCAAGAGTATACGCACACTTGAGACAAAAACACTGTTTGTGGTTTT